AAGAAGGATGACAACCTTACTGCAGTGAAATTGGCGAATCCTAAAACTATAGAGTATCAGGTCGTTCGTACCTCGCTTTTGCCAGGTATATTGAAAACTGTGAGAGAAAACAAAAAACATGCATTGCCAATTAAAGCTTTTGAAGTATCTGATGTGGTTTTCAAAGATAATTCTTTTGAGAGGCTAACAAGAAATGAAAGGCATGTATGTGCAATTTATTGCAATAAAGTATCTGGATTTGAGGTACGTTAATTATTTTGTTTAGTTGTGTTATATAGTTGAGTCATATGACACAAATTTGGTTTAAATAGATTATCCATGGACTTGTTAATCGCATTATGGATATGCTTAATGTGAACCTTGTTTCAGCTTCAAAGAATGAAAAGGTTATTATATAAAGGAATCTGATGGTATTATTATTATTATTATTATTATTATTTTAAAGGAAAGGATGAATAATTTAGTTATATATTTTACATTTACAAAACTAAAATTTTAATATGCTCCCAAATATTACAAGATACAACATATTTCCCTAACCGAAGCGCAGATGTATTCCTTCGAACATCATCAAATATTACAAAAAAAATAGGAAGCTTTGGAATTTTGCATCCTAAAGTACTTGAAAATTTTGAAATAACCTATCCCTGCTCTGCTTTAGAATTTAATTTGGAAGAATTTATGAATAATTTACGGTTTGATTAGGAACGAATGAAATATTTTATTTGTTAATTATTAGTTATTATATAAGTTATTATATAGAAATTGGTAGTCTTATTAACAGTGATACAAAATATTCATATCTTAAAGTTTAAAATAGTAAAGTATCAATTTTTTTATATTAACTAATAATTAAATAAATAATATTTAATAGTTCAAGACTTTTACATGGTTTTTTTATCTTAATAATATTTTTAAAAAGATTTTTAAAGGTTTAAACAAACATATTATAATATATACAGTATATAAGATACTAAATTTTAATATAAACCAAATTTTTAATTTGAAAAAGAAAAAAAATAAAATAAGAAATATATAAATACTAGATACTATTTATTAATAAATAGAGTGCTAAATTTAAAATTTTATTAATAAATAGAGTGCTAAATTTAAAATTTTATTAATAAAT